GCATGCGCGGGATGCGCCGGCCAGGCCGCTGCCGGCAGAGGCGGGAAGCGGCGGCGCCGAGGGGAGTCACCGGGCAACCCCCGCACCTTTAGTAATTCCTCCCAGAAATCCAGTTGCCTTCGGCGCTCAGCAGAAGACAAAGCCCGCCGTTAAAACTCAGCCGCTTCTCAGCATATCCGTGCCGGTGGGGCTCTGTGGGACCGCAGCGGCGGGTGCCTGTGGAGGGCTGTAAACACGCTCAGGTGCTTTGCAGCCGAGGTGCCGAAAAACTCCCTAATATCTCACGGATTGTGGCGTGGGTTTGTGGGGACACTGGCTGCGTGTAGGTAACGCGGGCCTGGGAGAGGCTCGGGGGCACCTTGTCGGGCACGGGATAGCACAGACTCCATGGAGTTAGTGCGCACGTAACGTGGGAACGTTAATGTACAGAACTGCAGATTGATGTGTAGCTTTATCACTTGGTATAAGCTTCGAACAGGCAAGAGGAGGCTGCGTGCCATCCCAAAGCGGGAGACACGTCCGTGGGCAACCTGAGCGAAGGTCTGGACCTCAAAGCGACCTCCGGATACCCTTCCCCAGGTTCAGTACTCTTGCACAATCTATTAATGTCTCTTTAATGTCCTGGAGATAGGTGAGCACTGCTTGGAAATATATATAATGAGTGTGCTTTTGTCCACGGGTGTGCGTGTTAGGAGGAGAAATCCCCCACGCACCCGGTGCTGCGATAAACCCACGCTGGCTTTCGAAACTATCACTTGGTTTGGAGAGATTTCTTGGTTATGATTTTTGGGAACACATCCTTGAGATTCCTGCCCTTCTGTGGGGAAGATCAAAGCACAGTGGAAAACGACACCTGCGAAAATCCCTGAGTTCTATAGGCAAAAGCAGCAGATTTTTTTTGTTCTTCTCTGTTTTCTGGTTGGCAAGGACCGAGCTCCGCAGTGACGCTGTCCCTGCTTGTGTCCCTCTGCCCGGGAGCTGCTGCAGAGATCTCCCAGGTCACAAGGTAACGAGAATAAATTTGCTCTTTGTGTTTCATCCCTGGTTTTGAGGTTGTTCCTGTGCTCTGCCTGTGCCGGCTCAAACAGTCTCCTATAGAACATCATCATCACCCATTGCTTTTTCGTTGGGGTGGGAGGAGATAAATACACAGTTTACTCTTACCCCCAACACCTTTTTTCTAATTAGCTATGAATACAAAGGTTTATTGCTAAGGATAGACTGCTTATCTCGACAAAGACAAAATCAGCAAAAACTCTTGTTGCTTTCCCACTATCCTCTAACAAAAGACAGCTCGTAGTTCTCTCCCTCCCCACCTCCAAAACCAACCCAAAAATCACTAAATAACCCCGAAAGAGATCAATGTGCAAAGGAGTTAAAGAAGGACCTTTTTTAAAGCAGTGATGCAACCCAAGAAGTGACTGCATTCAGCAGACGTTTAAGGAGAAAGGTAAATTACCTAAGAAGGGGTTGCATGACCCCGCCAGACAACAGATTATTGAAATTGCTTGGTACGAAACTGCATGATCTTAACATTGTGAGCACTGAAAAGTGGTCACCCTTCCAGCAGTGCTGGCTACACAACCACACTCCAGTGACTCCCATCTCCCAGCCTGTATCATCTTAGTAACTCTTGCAGCTTCGATGTTAAATGGAAAGACATACTGTGTCTTTTTAGACAAACCATAAAAACATCAGTAAGAGGAGGAAAAAAGTTTTCAAAAGCCCTGCTTCATAAGCAACTTCTAATGTCACAGAATCCTTCAGGTTGGAAAAGCCCCGCGGGATCATCGAGTCCAACCCTCAGCCCGACCCTACAAAGTTCTCCCCTACCCCACATCCCCCACAGCTCATCCCAACGGCCCTGAAACCCCCCCAGGGATGGGGACTCCCCCCTCCCTGGGCAGCCTCTTCCACTCTCGCACCACTCTTGCTGGGAAACATTTTCTCCTCCTGCCCAGCCTGACCCTCCCCTGGGGCAGTTTCCAGCCGTTCCCTCTTGTCCTGTCCCTGATCCCCTGGGAGCAGAGCCCAGCCCCAGCCTCTCTGCAATGTCCTGTCAGGAGCTGCAGAGAGGGATGAGGGCTCCCCTCAGCCTCCTCCTCCTCACACTGAACACTCCCAGCTCCTTCCCTGCCTCCTCACAGGATTTATTCTCCAGCCCTTCCCCAGCCTCGTTGCCCTCCTCTGCCCTCGCTCCAGCCCCTCCAGATCTCTCTGGGATTGAGGTGCCCAAACCTGGACACAACGCTCCAGGTGTGACCTCACCAGTGCAGAGCACAGGGGACTGTCACCTCCCTGCTCCTGCTGGTCACACCAGTGCTGACACAAGCCAGGATGCCGTTGGCTTTGTTGCCCATCTGGGCACACTCCAGTAAAATGCAGCTACAGGGACCTGGGAGGAAGCAGGTGATGGGGAGAGGAAGAATAAGCTCACAGCTCTGTCATCACTAGCACCTTGTTGGCAGCCAAATTCTCCCACTGTCAGGACCCTGAGTGAGAGCCCAGGCAGTTCTAAAGATTCTGTGACCTATCAGGTTAAATTAAGTTGAAATGACACCAAATGACAGTTAAAATATTTTACTTCCAGTAGAAAATAATTTAAACTTGGGAAAGAAACTAAGCAATGGGGTCTCTTATAAATCTATAAGGAAGAAATAAAGGAAAGAAAATAAAGGAGAAAAAGAGAGTAAAATATCTGGACCATCACCCCTGGATCCAGCCCTGTCTCAGGTCCAGTAATCTTGGGTGGTGGGTGCACACCCAGCAAAGTTTCTGTTGCCTTTTAAGTTGATTGTATCAGCTGATTTGCATACTAGATGAGGAGGGGCGGGTATTGCTCCAGCTCATTTCCATGAGAGAGGAGGAGAAGGTGGAGCAGGGGTTCTGTGTGTGCGTTGGGGAGGAATGGGGTGCACCAACCCCCTTGTCCAGTCAGTCAGTGGTCGTGCTCACCTCTCACTCGTTTAGCAAGGCCTGCGTGGTGTCGGGCTTAGACATTAGAGCCACAAAGTATCGGGAATAAACTATAGAGCCACGGATCGGTGGTCCTTGGGCTTGAGGGGGAGCGTTTGGTTTCACTCAGTCCGTGTCTCCCCCTTTGAGTTTTATCTCAGGAGTTTGATGATACAACTGCAGGGCAGCGGGGGGTGCACCCTTCCATACACTCCCGCTTCCTTGGGGGACATTCCTGAGACTCATCCAAGGCCACAGCTGGTCCTTGAGGTTTCTGGTGTGGATGAATGTTCGAGTTATTAACTCCTCGAGTTCCCCACAGCTGGTGACCTGGAGCCTGCGATGCCGGGTGCTGGTGCTGGTCCCTTGAGTGTCACAGCCGGTGTGTGATAATGCAGGTGCTGTCAGAGGGAAGGTTTAAGCAATCTTGAGCTAAACAAGTGTCTTAGGAGCGATTCTTCCCCAAACAGCCATGCTGCCATCATAAACATGTCAGATGCTGGGTAGTTTGCATCTTCTCAGCGTGGGGTGGAAGAAAGGAGCTCTGCGTCGCTGCCAACCTGCCCAGCCTGACCCTCCCCTGGGGCAGTTTCCAGCCGTTCCCTCTTGTCCTGTCCCTGATCCCCTGGGAGCAGAGCCCAGCCCCAGCCTCTCTACAATATATAAAATAATAAAAGTCTATAAATGCTCCCACGGTCAAGATGACTTGAACAGGCTGAGGGGTTTTGTGCCTGGGCTCTGCCATTAATCAAGCTAATCCTGCTAATTGAGCCCTTCAGGTGATATTAGGCCCAGCAAGAAGAGCCAGAGCAAAACAATCCCGGCTTTAGAATGGAGAAGTCACTTGGAAATACAGACCAGAGTTCGAATGGCTGCTGTCAGCACGTGTCTGGAGAAAAAACAAAAAAGGGTGAAGGGCTTGGAAGACCAGGACATGTGCTTGAGTCAGAACAGGGAGGATTTGGAGGAAGAAAAAACCTTCAGTGGCTGGAGCTGGGTGAAGTTTAGTGCAACATCTTGTCCCCTCAGCCCAGTTAAGAAAATGAAGTGGTCAGGCTGGAGACTTGGGTCGTTGAGGATTCTCTTGCCTGCCTCCGAGTTCAGAAAACAGGAATAAAAGTCATGAGTCAGCATTTCTGAAGCACCTTTGCAAGAAACTCCCCTGGCAGCGTAAGGAACTGAAGGAATCGATGCTCAAACATTCACTGACACAGAAAACCTCAAGGACCAGCTGTGGCCGTTGTGATGAGTCTGAGGAATGTCACCTGAGGAAGCGGGAGTGTATGGAAGGACGGACCCCCCCTCCCTTGCAGCTGCATCAACAGACTCCTGAGAGAAACCTCAAAGGGGGAGACACAGACTGAGGGAAACCAAACGCTTCCCCTCAAGCCCAAGGCCCGCCGATCCCTGGCTCTGTTGTTTAAGCCCGATGCTTTGTGGCTCTCTGTGTAAGCCAGACCCCGTGCAGGCCTTGCTAATGACTTCCATCCTTCACCACTGAAGAGGTGACACCAACTGGTAAGAAGTGAGCATTTCTGCTCCAGCAATGCCTCAAGAAGCAGCAAGTCAGCAAAATTCTGGGAACTGAGAAAAAAAAAACCCTCAAAGTATGCAAATCGGCTGATAAGAGGAATTTAAAACTAAAGATGAATTTAAAACTAAAGATGAATTTAAAACTTTGCTGGGTGTGCACCCACCACCCAAGATTAATGGGCCTGAGACAAGGCTGCATCCAGGGGTGGTGATCCAGATCCTCTCCTCTCCTCTCCCTTTTCCTTTCTCCTCTGCCCTTACAGATTTATAAGACA